GAAGGAATCTACAACTGGTGGTGATGATGTAGGTACACAGAAAGAATTAAATGAAGTTAAACAAGAACTTAAAACTACTAAAGAAGGTGAGATGTCAGGTTGTGCTATCATTTTGACTAATTATTGTACTTTAGTCTCAGAAACAGAAATTTTTAGCTAAGCTAATCAGTAATAGTAATCACAGCTAACTGTTGAAATTATAGCCTTCAAATCTATATATGTTCATAATTATTATCTGCATTTAACCAGTGGTCATTTCTTGAGACTCTACCATATATAGAAATAGAAAGTGAAATTCCTAGTTTGAAGTATTTTTAAAGGAATTATGCGATTTTTATACGCCCACATGAAATGTGTCAGTCCAACGGTCCGTCCACAATTGCTCTTAAAACTCTAGAAGGCACAATTCTTAAATGATTTTAAAGAAACTTGGTATGGTTGTTTGTAATCACCCAAGGCTGAACTTAAATGAAAATCAGAAAAGTCGAAAACTATTTAGTTGAGTTATTGCTCTTGTTCTTAAAATGCTCGTTTTTCAATAATTACTGAGTTTGATGGATACACTGTCTTATATAGAGATACTATTCTTTAGTCATGCCACCTGGTAAATCAACTGATGAATATGATATACTCCAGTTGACCAAGTTTGAGACTTTAAATTTTATGTTCATTCTGAGAGGTAGTATTTCTTTAATATCTATATATATTACATTGATAGAATTAAAGCATGCTGAGATGAATTTAAAATCTATGAAGAAACAAGCTGAATCAACTAATATAGAATATGACAGGTTATTGAAAGAACATGCTACACTCCAGGTTAGTTTCATTTCTTCTCATGTAAAATCTAAGTTTACCTAATACAAAGATTTCAAAGTTGATCAATTTTAACAGATATAAATGTTTTAAAGGGATTGTTAAGAGGTTTTAGTTTGCTCTGAGCAAGGTTGTCATTTTAAGTGATTTAAACGTGGTTTTCTAAAAATTTTTATGTGTATCAGGGACACTGATAGCCACAATTTTCATCATTCCCAATTTCATTCAGACGTCTGTGATTCCACTAAAACTTAAGTGATAGATGAAATTTATTAATTGCAAAATATGTTTGTATCTCCTAAACACGTATCAACGTCATCTGTTTGAGTGGAATTGCAGGAACCACAGACGTCTGATTGAAAATTGGAATGGCCCAAATTGATGCTACATATACACATAAAAAATTTAGAAAACCTTTTTACAATCCCTTGAAGGTTTATTAATCTTACCTGAAGTAATAATATTGGACCACTTAAGCCTAGACCACCAGTACCTTACCACTTCTAGAGGTATATTGGACCACCTCTCAACAGGCTGTTAGGTCTGTATCACTACAAGAATTCTTCATTTATTGTTCAATTATATATTTTCAGGAGAAATTAGAAGGTCTACAAGGTTCAGGTGGAAAGAAAGATAAATAAAAAGAAAAAGTTTCAAAATGTGTGAACCCTCTTAAGATATTGAATATATTTTATAGAACTGTTTATGTTTTAAATATCCTTCATTTTAGTCCTCCTCTCTATTCTCTTCTAATTGTAGTTATCTTAGGAGTTTTAATTTCATTTCATGTATTCTAATTATAATATCTATATATATTTCATTATCTGTATCCTCAGTTTCAGTAGAGTCACTCATTCAATGTAGATGTTGACTGACATATTTGGTTCCGCATTTAACATGAGTCAAGTTCTTAAAATTATTTTGTCTTTGAAAAATAGTTCAAGTAAACTTTGTTATCTAATAATGATAATGATAGCCTCGAATCAGATACAGTTGAACTGCTTATATATTAATAATTAATATTAAATAATATTTATAATGTAATAATTAGTATTTGCCATCTGGCTGTGTGTTACTTGGAACTGACATTATATTTCTGGTAACATGTGATGATGACATAGTTCAACATAGTGTCAATATACAAGTATAAATACCATATTCAAGTATTATTGGACTTATCTTATTGCAAGGGCAATATGACATATTTCATATCTAAATGGATATATTCCTGCTAAGAACTGGGCATTATACATTTGTCCAAACTGGTTGAGATGTAATTAAAATTATGTCAAGTACATGTTACAACAAAACAGGTATTTATTTGGCTTGGTTTGCTCACATAAACTATTTTATTTTGACTCTCTATTTTTGCTGCTGTATTTTGTTTAAAGGGACAGGTGTGCCATTTTGGTGGTTGATTTAAGTCTTGAAAATATGAAAATAGTCTTCAGAAGTACTAGAATTATACAAAAACATCTCAAACTAGGAATTTTACTCACTATTTCTATATGATCTACGAGTCATCAGTTTAACTTTCAAACGCAGATAATTCTGGCCACCCAGGGATTTGAAGACTCATATTTTGACTGTGAGCTGCAAACACTATTACTAATTGGCTCAGCTATCAAATTCCCGTTTCTAAGTATGATTGGTCAAAAACAATGGGCACCAGTCCTTTTAAGTAAACACCAATGCTATTAATACCAACGATAAATTCTTACAAAGTAGTTAAAAAGTAGTTATAGATTCTTAGTCAAAAAAACACTAAAATAGTTAGTATGAGGGCTTTATAAGTGGATTTTGAAAAAGATTTTGCAAGTTTTGGAACTAACTGAAATGAACAAATATATGAGAAATTCCTACAACATATTTTATTGTTTTACTTCTACCTTTACTTGCCTTAATATTATATATATTATCACCAAATATTGACAGTAGTTGAATTAGATATTGGCAAATTCATTGAACTGTCAATGACGTCTGTTAACAGACATACATGTGAAAATATCAGTGTACTGCAGTGTAAAGTGGAATTAGGGCTGGATGATATACTGGTATCAGGATAATTACAGGTTTAGTAATTTCTATCATTTGTAATATATATGGTAATTATCATGATATATCATCAAATTTGTGTCCAGATAAGATCATCTACACAATTCCAACAAGTAATTTAATATTTGAAACTGATGTTTTTTCATGATATTTAAGACTGGGGTGTTTTTAAGAGATAATTTTTCTTAAATATCTTAATTTTTATATGATGAATAAATAATTTTTTGTTTGAAAAACCAGTAAAAAGCATACTTAAGAAACATTGTGATTTATACCTCTATCGTGATATATTAATGCTTAATATCATGATATCAACTTGAACCAATATCGCCCAGTCCTAAATAGAATATTATAGTTTAGCCTGATATGTTGTTAAGAGTTCAATGAATATGTTAACAGAATGTTATTGAAGAGTGTTTGTAGAGTGAATATTCAATGTAAACTGTTGAATTGCTGTTTTTGTCATAAAAAATAAAGCTATGGTATTTTCTGTAACTGTGAATTCTACCTGGAAAATGAATGGCACAAATTCTTGTTTTCTATTTGGCCTGCCTGTTTACTCTCATATATTTTGTCTAGAGTTTGTAACTATGTGAACACACCAAATTTACATTATCATGTGACAATCTAGACATAGAAGCGGTAACCATGGTCACTGTTTAGAGTCATGGGTTGTTTCTATAACATAATGAATTATAAAATGATACAGCTTCATGATAATAAAAACTATTCATCCTTTATAAACACTATTAATCAGACAATCAGATAAATAGTAAATATAATTATTGTAAGAATTCTAGTGTATTTTTTATAATGGCCCTGTCACACCAGAAAGATTCTTATTAATGGCCCCATAAGGGTGGATTGTGGCCACTATTTGTCGAGTAATGGCATTTTTTTTTTAGAGTTCGGCGATCTATTCTGGATCACCATGGGATTGAGAATGTCATTAGACAGGTGTTGTAATTTCTCTCTGGGCACTGTAGTAAAGACGCTGCAAAAACTTCAGAAAATGGTATGAGGTTAGATGTTTTTAAGTTTGTACTTTTCCTCACGACTGCAAACTAGTACATATTCTGTCGCCATAGTAACAGTTGTTACAAATTATACATATTCATTAGAAAAGTATTCTTAATATTGTCTTTCTATCTATAAATACCCATTGATATTCTATATCAAAACCAATTTTCATCATTTTATTTGTTATTTAGTTCAGATGATTTTATTCAATCAGGCGTCACCAATTTACCTGTTTCCTCTCTAAATTGTTTAGTTTCCAAACAAATAAGATTGACAAGGGCAAAAAATGAAAAGATCCTCTTCAAGCCACAATTATTTACTGGAAGGTGTTCTAAAATTGATCAATGTTCCAGGGTTGTTGATTTGGCTCTATATGCCGGACATGACCGACGGTCATTATCCTCTATCGGACATCAAGCAATTTGGTTTCACTGACCGGCTGTGGGCACACAAGAAGACAAAATATCTCCAGTCACTAGTTTCCCACAATGTCGAGAATCAAGTGCGGATCATGCAGTTGAAAGGAAAATGAATCTGTGTTGCAGACGGTAAAACAATAGGCAACAAATATCAAACTGGTGCAGAATTATAAATCATGTGGGCAACATTACAATCAGGTCATACCTGAGATTTTACTCAAGATTCGTGGCTGTGACAAAAATCCATGACCAAGACTGTTTGTGTGCCTGCACCACACCTCAGTTTATGTTTTCACATGAATTTGTAATTATCTGAAGTAAATGAAATGGCATGATTTATTGAGTATCGTTGGGTATCAGAAGATCTTTTCTATCATGACAAGAGAATATTTTAAGAGTGAGAAATGAAAGAGTAATTGTAACAATATGTATTATATATAGTAATGGTGGGTGAAATGGTTTAACTGTTATAAAAATATAATTGTTTATAATTCTGCTATTTAATAAAAGTAATCAGTATTTGATATAATTCAGTGTTAATTTATTCAGATTCATCAATTTGGGAATTGAGTTGAGTCTTGAATATATGTAAATAGTCAGATATCACATAATTTCTTCAAAAATACATCAAAGAAAGAACTTCACTTTCTATTTCTAAATGTCACATGCATATAGGCCTATGACAGACTCTCAAGAAATGACAAGTTGTCTATTTAACTTTCGAACACGGATAATTCTAGATACACATGGATTTGAAAGCTCAAATTTCGACGATAAGCTGTGAACACTATTACTGATTAACATAGCTAATAAATTTTTCTTTCTGAGACTTAAGTATGATCGGTCAAATGGATGGCAAACTTGTCCCTTTAAGGGTCAGCTTCACTATTTTTGTCTCAGAAGCAGGAAATGTCATGTAAGCTAATCAGTTCTACTTTGTTTATACACAGCTTTGACAAAAGATGTCTGGGTGTCAGTGAGACTTATGGATACCCTAATTTTCAGAGAGAAGACAAGCTTGTGAACAAAAAAAAAGAAAAAAGTGAAATTTCTTGTATGGGGTATATTTGAAGGAATTATGCGATTTCTGAAGACTATTTACATATATTCAAGGTCCATAAACCCCTGAAAATGGAGAATCTGTCCCGTTGATGTCATAGTGGATTAGTGGACAACTGCATCTGCGCCAAGCTCAATGTCCAAATATTAACATTCCAGATCAAAATATACAGCTTTAGATACTGTGGATTACCAACAAGAATTTGGGCCCTTTGTGGTGGTTGACATTAATATATGCATTTAGTCATTTGCTTTGTTAGCTAATAAGTTTTACAGGGTTCGCACAGCCTTGAAAAACCCTTGAATTCCGTCTGTTGCCTTGAAAAACCTTGATTTCAAAAAAAGTCTTTGAAAACACCATAAAAAACCCATTTTCTCTTGAAAAGTCCTTGAATTTTGAGTTGAGTCAAATTGTGTATATTTTTATCATTAACCCCCTTGAAAAATATTAACCATCTTTATTGATTTCACAGTTCAAAAGTAATATCCTTGAAAAGTCCTTGAATTTCAAAGCCCAGAGTCCTTGAAAAGTCTTTGAATTTTTGAGGCAAAGTGCTGTATGAACCCTGTTTTACCAACCAACTGTGACTCTTTTCTAGGACCTCATAATACTGGTCATCCAGACATTTTGTTTTCTTGGAGAAAGATAATGATCTTGAGCTAAAAGTATTAGTTAGTTAAATCTAAAAAAAGTGTATTTTAAAGGGATTGTAAAGGGGTTTTCTAAATTTGCCTAGCAGACAACAATTCAACTGCAGGAACCACAAAAATTGGAATGGTGCAACTGGATGCTTTCAGTGTTCCCAAATACACTTAATATTTTAGAAAACCTCTTAATAATACCTTTTAATTTCAAATGCAAGTTATAAGATGACTCTCTTATCACAATTATCAGCTAATTTTATTATCTAGTTCAGTAATAAGTTCCTGGAAGTCTGTAATAAACCACTTGGCATTATTTTTAACATTTTCTCTCACCACATTGCCTCCATAGCCAATAAAAGCAGACTGAAATAAAATACAGAATATTTTATTTTACATTTTGACCCAAAACTAAATCAAACATGTTAGTGAACTAGACTAGAATAGATTGAAATATGCAAAATAAAATCTCAAAATAGATTGAAATATGCAAAATAAAATCTCAAAATAGATTGAAATATGCAAAATAAAATCTCAAAAAAGATTGAAATATGCAAAATAAAATTTAAAAATAGATTGAAATATGCAAAATAAAATCTCAAAATAGATTGAAATATGCAAAATAATATCTAAAAAAAGATTGAAATATGCAAAATAAAATTTAAAAATAGATTGAAATATGCAAAATAAAATCTCAAAATAGATTGAAATATGCAAAATAAAATCTCAAAATAGATTGAAATATGCAAAATAATATCTAAAAAAAGATTGAAATATGCAAAATAAAATTTAAAAATAGATTGAAATATGCAAAATAAAATCTCAAAATAGATTGAAATATGCAAAATAAAATCTCAAAATAGATTGAAATATGCAAAATAATATCTAAAAAAAGATTGAAATATGCAAAATAAAATTTAAAAATAGATTGAAATATGCAAAATAAAATCTCAAAATAGATTGAAATATGCAAAATAAAATCTCAAAATAGATTGAAATATGCAAAATAATATCTAAAAAAAGATTGAAATATGCAAAATAAAATCTCCAAAAAGATTGAAATATGCAAAATAAAATCTCAAAATAGATTAAAATATGCAAAATCTCAAAAAAGATTGAAATATGCAAAATAAAATCTCAAAATAGATTAAAATATGCAAAATCTCAAAAAAGATTGAAATATGCAAAATAAAATTTAAAAATAGATTGAAATATGCAAAATCTCAAAATATGCAAAATAAAATCTCAACAATGATTGAGTTGAATTCCATATCTAGAGTTATGTCCCTTCCTGACTGAACGAAAGAAGACATTACAGTATAAATGAATGATAAATGGTATTCAGGTATGATTGAACGAAAGAAGACATTACAGTATAACTGAATGATAAATGGTATTCAGGTATGATTGAACGAAAGAAGACATTACAGTATAACTGAATGATAAATGGTATTCAGGTATGACTGAACGAAAGAAGACATTACAGTATAAATGAATGATAAATGGTATTCAGGTATGACTGTTTGAAAGAAGACATTACAGTATAACTGAATGATAAATGGTATTCAGGTATGACTGATCAAAAGAAGACATTACAGTATAACTGAATGATAAATGGTATGCAGGTATGACTGATCGAAAGAAGACATTAAAGTATAATGGTATTCAGGTATGACTGATTGAAAGATAACTTACATGTGATGATTAAATTAACCACATATTCTCAAATTACGATTTATTAAACACTGATCAACGAGTCGTCATAAACACCGCTAATCTGATAGCCAGTTAAAATACCCCACAGTGACACGCAACTGGATGTATTTATTACTATACAATTTAATAATTGGTTCCCAACCACAGCCGTGTTGAACCTGAAACTGGTTCTTTTACATAGTATATATTCCATCATTCCCAGTAAATAGTGTACAGATACCAGATAAAGAAAGTATCTCATTCTGCATTTCTAAAATTACTAACCGCAGGTGGTGAAGCTTCCATGTCTGTTGCACCATCTCCAACCATGATAACATTTTTATAATTATATTTCTTTATCAATAACTCCACAACTCTCTTTTTACCACCAGATTCAGATGTAGCTTCATTTTCATCAAAACCAATATATTTACCTATAAACATATAATAATATAACATCAACAATACTTACCTCAAGGAATACTACCTCTTAGGACAGACATAAAATTTAAAGTCTGGAAGTTGGTCAACAAGTCCACTGAGATACAAAGACTCTTTTGGCCAAGTTTTGTGTTCGGAATTTTATTTGTCTAGTATGTCATCTAGAAACAAACGGGGAAATGTCACGCGATTGAAGTTAAATTACGCCATTTATTATATTTAATTTAGTATATGTTATGTACTGTTGTAATTTATTTCATTTGAAACACATTGTAATATGGGTCTCAGACCTTATATACTGTAAATAAACATTATTATTTTGGCCAAGTTTAAAAATTTCATTTTTTTTTGTTATCCTAAGAGGTAGTATTCCTTTAATCATAAATATACTAGCCACTGAACAACCAAATAGACTGGAAATTTGCAGAATGTGCTCAGAATAATTTGCATTTGATAAAATCTTGATAATTATGTCCTTGAGCAAATCACCAACCTACGTTGCCAAAAAAGACAATTCAATCAGCCTTAAGAGGGAATTTACCTTGGTCATCAAAAAGTAATCTATTAGCAAATATATGATCAGTTGATATGTTTAATATTTTAGCTACAGGTTCTATAATAGACCGGAATCCACCAGACACCAAATATATATCTTTATTTTCTTTCTTTAAAACATCCACTAATTCTCTACAAAATAATTTAGCAGATGATCATAAAGAAATGAAATAAAAAATATCCATGAAATTTCTTCCTTTCTTAAAGAGACAGATTCGAGGGGTTCATTTTGGTTTGAATATAAGTACATACTCTTGAGAAGTATTAGATATGTACAAAAATCACATAAATCCTTCGAAAATACCTCAAACTAGGAATTTCATTTGCTATTTTTATAGATGTATTTTCTATATATATGGCAGAGTCTAAAGAAATGACAACGTCATTTAAACATTATTCAGATAATTCTGGACACACACTTTGAAGGCTGAAATTTCGACGGTGAGCTGTGACCATTATTACGGATAAGCTTGGCTATTTGCTAAACAATTCCTGTTTCTGTGACGATATGAACGTACGATTGCTCAAACGGATAGCGAACCTGTTCCTTTAAATCTGAACTCTACCTTGTCTTATCAGTCTGGACTAATGAACACAACGTTATGCGAGAGAAATGTTTGCCAATACAACGGCAAAAACTAATACATTGGATTCTTATGACATTGAATCAAAAAGAAAAAGGTTTAATTATTTGCAAAAGAAATTTAAACACAATCGTAAGTAATATTCAGTACTATGTAAGCAAAAGTAACCAAAGTAGCCCCAAAGCCAGGAATGAATTGGTCCTGGGGCTCAGATTTTTGAAGAATGAAAGGCCTAGAGAACTCATTTCTGACAATTTTTAGGTGCCAAAAACATATCAAAATCTACAGATTTTTTATTTTGTACATAGACACACTATGAATGAATCAATCTTTGATGAACTGAAGAAGATTTTGCTGGGGCTTAATTCTCACTTGCTGGGGCCCAGCCCCCACTACCCCAACCAAGGAAACAACAGCCCAATATGCAGAATTTTTTAAAAGCATGGTTGTAATTGAATTTGACTATAAAACTTACTTAAATCTTGGACTAAGAGCAGGGTCATGTGATTTTATGAAGCTATTTAGTGTATCTTTACTAGGATTAATAATATTTAACCTGGAACGTAACGCTTCTCTAAACGACACTCCACCACCCATTGCTTTCTTTGTCCTAGAAAATATACACTTCTATAGTAGACAAACTCTACAAAATATACATCATATACTTACTTCTATAGTAGACAAACTCTACACAATATACATCATATACTTACTTCTATAGTAAACAAACTCTACACAATATACATCATATACTTACTTCTATAGTAGACAAACTCTACACAATATACATTATATACTTACTTCTATAGTAGACAAACTCTACACAATATACATCATATACTTACTTCTATAGTAGACAAACTCTACACAATATACATCATATACTTACTTCTATTGTAAATGAAATGAATGGAGTTTTAAGTCCTACTTTTCTGCCCCTTGTGGGCTAATGAAGACGGGCAACGCCATGCAGGGTGCAATGAGGAAAATTTTGCCAGTACAGCGGTATTAGGCTGCTCTTTTTCGATTTCCAACTGTCTTTAACATGCATAACCTGTAGCAGACGGGGCCTCGGTTTATTGTCCCATCCGAACGACTAGCCGCTTTTTCCATGTCAGCCCCTCTTACTTGCATCACTGACGGGGGGAAACCGGGTTGAAAAATCTGAAGGTATTATCTGGACCCATGCCGGGATTGAACCCTGGACCTTCAGGTTAGCGAGCAAGCGTCTAACTCACTGAGCCACCACGGCTCCCTACTTCTATTGTAAACAAACTCTACAAAATATACATCATATACTTACTTGTATCGTAGATAAACTGAAACTGATTTTGATGTACATTTAAAAAAAAAATTGGTAAATTGGAACAAGTAACAAGACAATATATGCTCAAGGCCAGTGCTTTAGAGAAAAAAAACTTGTGCTGAGTTCTTGTGCTGTATTTGTTACCTCAGGGACTTCCAAGATAGTACATTTGTTACTTCAAATTGTTTTCTACTGGAGAACTCTGGTAGCTAACATTATCATGGGTTTACAACATATGACGTTTTAATTTTGGGCAACTAGGGCTTGGTTAAATATTAATAGTAATTTATAATTTCTTAATTCATTATATGTTAAAGTTACATTTTCTCCATTGTACCTGTTAACAAGTAGTAATGTCTTGACCTATGGGCAACCAATCTGAATTATATAATGAACAGATGTGATATAATTTGTCTGTAATGTTTTTCAAATGTGTCCTGAATAGAATCAAATGGTACTTATAACTTCCTTGAAGAAAACTTCCCAGAGGTAATGAATACAGCATTGATTCCGGTGACTTCTATCAATAAATAATAAACTAGCTTACCATTGAGCAACTTCTTCACCTACACCACAGAATGAGGCTAGTTCATCCAGTCCTTCATCTTGACATACTGTAGAATCCACATCAAAACAAACTGCATCAGCTGTCCTCCACAAGCATTTTACATCTATAACTTCCATTTCTAGTATTATAAACACATATAAACAATAAATATCAAAATATTTTCACTGTAAACATGGTTCAAGGGACAGATACGCCATTTTTTTGATAAATCATCCTTTTGTACCAGAAACAGGAATTTTTTAGCTGAGCTAATCAGTATTTGTGTTCACAGCTCATCATCGAAATTGAAACCTTCAAATCCATGTGTGTCTAGAATTGTTCACATTTGAAAGTTAAAAAGCCGTTTTATCTTTTCTTGAGACACAGCCATATATAGAAAAGATATATATAGAAATAGTGAGTAAAATTCCTGGTTTGAGGAAATTATGTGATTTTTGTACCTTTCTAGACTATTTACATGTATTCAAGATTCAAATCAACAACTTGACAACTCTTTACTACGTCTTATATTGCTTAGTTTTAACAGAATGGAAGAGTTGTATGATATTCATGCAAATCAGAGTGCTGAATATCCTTATTTAGGATAAAATGACAGGTTTTGAATACAGTGAGGTGAAGATTTGGTAAATCAATTTAGTTATAACTATGTTTGTGCTCACTTAGGGCCTTTCAAATATCATCAAATGCTTAGTTATAGTGTAATTCCAAGAATCACAGACGCCTGATTGAAATTGGGAATGGTGCAAATTGATATCATCATTGTTCCCACTACATAGAAAGAATTTAGAAAATGTCTTTACAATCCCTTTAAGCTAAGCCTGTTGTTACTTTAAAAAAAATAATTTTGTTGCACAATTTGATACAATGGATGTAATTATCTAAATGACTGAAGGCAACATAATATATGGCATCTTTGTCATTTTTATTTTTTTGCTCTGTAAATATGAACATGTGCAAAGCTAATGGCTTTAGGGCCCCTAAACCAATAGTGGACAGCTAATGGCTTTAGACCCTACACTAATAGTAAACAGCTAATGGCTTTAGGCCCCTACACCAATGGTCAGCTAATGGCTTTAGGCCCTACACTAATAGTGGACAGCTAATGGCTTTAGAGCCCTTCACCAATAGTGGACAGCTAATGGCTTTAGGCCCGTACACCAATAGTGGACAGCTAATGGCTTTAGGCCCCTACACCAATAGTGGACAGCTAATGGCTTTAGGCCCCTACACCAATAGTGAACAGCTATTGGCTTTAGGCCCCTACACCAATAGTGAACAGCCAATGGCTTACGCCTGTACACCAATAGTGAACAGCTAATGGTGTTAGGACCTCACACCAATAGTGAACAGCTAATGGCTTTAGGCCCCTACACCAATAGTGAACAGCTAATGGCTTAAGGCCCCTACACCAATAGGGAACAGCTAATGGCTTTAGGACCTTACACCAATAGTGAACAGCTAATGGCTTAAGGCCTCTACACCAATAGCGAACATCTAATGGCTTCAGGCCCCTACACCAATAGTGAACAGCTAATGGCTTTAGGCCCCTACACCAATAGTGAACAGCTAATGGCTTTAGGCCCCTACACCAATAGTGAACAGCTAATGGCTTTAGGCCCCTACACCAATAGTGAACAGCTAATGGCTTTAGGACCCTACACCAATAGTGAACAGCTAATGGCTTTAGGCCCCTACACCAATAGTGGACAGCTAATAATGTCTTTAGGCCCTACACCAATAGTGAACAGCTAATGACTTTAGGCCCCTACACCAATAGTGAACAGCTAATGGCTTTAAGCCCTTACACCAATAGTGAACAGCTATTGGCTTAAGGCCCCTACACCAATAGTGGACAGCTAATGGCTTTAGGACCTTACACCTATGGAACAGCTAATGGCTTAAGGCCCCTACACCAATAGTGAACAGCTAATGGCTTAAGGCCCATACACCAATAGTGAACAGCTAATGGCTTTAGGCTCATACACCAATAGTGAACAGCTAATGGCTTTAGGCCCCTACACCAATAGTGAACAGCTAATGGCTTTAGGCCCCTACACCTATAGTGAACAGCTAATGGCTTAAGGCCCCTACACCAATAGTGAACAGCTAATGGCTTTAGGCCCCTACACCAATAGTGAACAGCTAATGGCTTTAGGCCCCTACCCCAATAGTTAACAGCTAATGGCTTTAGGTCCCTTCATCGATAGTGAACAGCTAATGGCTTTAGGACCTTACACCAATAGCGAACAGTTAATGGCTTTAGGCCCCTACACCAATAGTGAACAGCTAATGGCTTTAGGCCCCTTCATCGATAGTGAACAGCTAATGGCTTTAGGACCTTACACCAATAGCGAACAGCTAATGGCTTTACGACCTTACACCAATAGTGAACAGCTAATGTCTTTACACAAATATTCTATTGATTGATCGATTGAGGTAACTTGGACTAGATGAATTAGTCATGACAGTATGAAAACTGTCAAGGGTAATAAGTAAAAAAAAACAAATTGGAACTTCACCAAGATCTCATCAATTTATACGACCACATATTACGTAAAATTATTAAGTTTATGTTTCTTGGGAGCTGTTAGAAAACTACTGTATGGATTTGAGTAAACTAAACACCTGATTGTAGAGAAATATATCTATGTATTCTAAAGGTTTCAACTGATAAAATCAAGCCATTATAAAGCCAAGGTCAAACTTATTCATTAACAATTAGTACTCTCCGTTTTTAATTAATCCTTTTAAACCAAATTCAGTTTGATCAAGAAGATACATAGATATAAATAGATTACTGAAGAAATATTTTCAGTAATAATTCAGGTTTTGGATAATAAAAATTTTGCCCTGTTAAGACAGATTCATCATTATAGTGGGTTGCTTTGGGTCTAGTACTAGAAATGTATAAAAATCGCATCATTCCTCCAAAAATAAACTAGGAATTTTACTCACTATTTTTCATATTTATGTCTTTTCAATACTGTAAATGACTGAGTCTTCAGAAATGTTGAGTCGTCATTTTAACTTTCAAATGTGGCTTATTCTGGACACACAGTGATTTGAAAAACCAAATTTTGACAGTGAGCTTTGAACAATATTACTGATTGGCTTAGCTGAAAAAATATCCTTTTCTGAGACTAAAGTTTGATTGGTCAAAAAAATGGCGGCATTGTCCCTTTAAAAAGGCATAATGTAAATTTTTTCCTAGAAACACCACTGGGCTGTGTCTGACTTACTAATCTAAAAGCTGACCAAAACACATGTAAGTAAGCCTTATAAAGCGGTGGGTTCGTATTGCCGCATTGCCCAACATGCTGCATCTTGCCCAACTGCACAAAAACCACTTGTTTCACATGAAACGAAATATTTTAATCTGTTTTATTTATAATTAGGGAAATCGAAAGTATAGTTTTCTGGTAAAATCTGGAATAAAATAAATACCAAGTACAAACGATCAGAACCGTAATACAAAATACATAAATCCATTATTTAGGAAAATGACAGTTCAGACATGAGATGGATCCACAGGACAATAAGTATTGTGAAATCTAAAACCGTGAGCGGTGAGGGTTATATTTTGAAAATGCAGTATTGTCACCATAATAGCGAAAAGTATGCCTCTGTAAACGGGCACAGTATGAAAGTCTTGAAACTATAGTTTTGATTTCCCTAACGGGTCCAAATAATAAATAAAAAAACTAAATCGATGCAGGACAACAGATTGAAATATTTCATTTCATGTGAAACAAATAGCATTCCGGATTTTATCAGAAACCTGTAGTTTCGTTTTTGTTAGTGCTGGGAATTGAGTTTAAAATTATCATCGATTATCGGCAATATATTGTAAGGCATTTCCGATCGATAATCGATAAAAATCGTAATGTTGATACTCTAATTTTAGGTCAAGTAGTTGACTCATTTCAAGTCCTATTTAGGCTGCCTACCACTTACTTCTATGTAATGCTAGTGTTAGATGCTAGTATGTGTATTGTGTTTATTATCATGTTCTTTGTTATGTGACCAATCTTTTTGTTTTAAAGACGTTTGGAAGATTAGTTTTCGTCAATATCGCCATCGGCATGAATGGTAAAAATAATTGACTTGATCACACGTTTTGACAACCAAGACTAAAATACTATAGCACCGTTGTTATACGAATTGTGATTAGCATTCTATTTATAAAAAGTACTGATTATCCAATCAGCATTGTCGTTACGTAATTAGACTTGATAAAAAAAGGAAGACAACTACAATCGTGTGAAAAATAAAGCGAAAGTCATGCCCAAATATTGGTACCTGTATTCAGTTAATTATATTATAATAACAAATGTTTGTACTAATTTATTGTGAATGAAATTTTTCTTATTAATGATTGTTATTATCATATACAATCAAAGAAATGGAAGAACGTACGAGAATAAAGACTTTAGCTTAGTTTATTTTGCGGTACGTGACTGCCGAAAGCGTGTTTTTATTATGGTCCCGGGAGTAATTTAACAGAATTACCGGAGGTTATGTTATTTTTTGCGATAATCGATTTTGAAATGAACCATCGATTATCGTTATCGGTACATGACATAAGAGCGATAATTGATTTTTCGATAATTATTCCCAGCATTAATTTTTGTGCAGTTGGGAACGATGCGGCTAGTTGGGCAATGCGGCAAAACGAACCCACCGATTATAAAGCTGTTTTACTTGTGGCTGTCTGAAGGCCTTGTGGAACTTTAAATTAAATAGAAGTTTGTTTTAATCACTGCAAAATCTGTCACGACTCTCAGCAAGGATCGTCTTGAAGCCAATATTCAAATTCATGTAAAACTAATAAGCCAACGTAAAATTCGATTTATCGCATACGTAATGTAAGAAAATTGCAATTATGTAGAAATGTCTCTCCATATATTATTAACACGTTTCGATTTCTGTTTTTCAATCTCAGTAAAGATTGATGCTGTCCTCGTCTCCTCGTACACGATTCTTTAACTTACATGATATCTTCTTTTTTTCATAAAATAAACAGTGAGCTTTAACTGTCAAAATACAGCTATTCTATCTTCACTCTTTGCCTTCAACCTTAAGATCTAAAAATAGATTATTTTTATGGATAACTTTTATCACAAAAATTTAACCAACCTGTTACTGCTGTTCAACCAAGTATATTATAACATCAATTATTTTTGTATAATGGAAATATCAGCTTCAAAATCTCGGGCTTAATGAATTTCACGACTATTTTTCGTATATACTTTCAAGTAGGCCCACCCCCTATGTTGTCAGCAAAACGACCGTCCATAGACATATACACTGACTAGCAGTCAAGATAAATCCACTGAATCCAATTATTCCAATCGCAATACCAGTTTACAATCTCAAGAGAGTTTCGTTAATCTGATCACACTCTTTAAACAAAACTCTGTAACTATCTACACTTTTAGGTGTTAATCCTACATTAATTACCTGTCCGTGAGATTTTCTTTAACAATGGGTTCCCTTATTTTCATTTATGAAAATGAAAATGCTAATACTTATATGAATAGTAATTAGAGGTGTTCTACTGACTTGGAGAAATACCAGTTTGTCTCACATGTCACATGTCCATAATTAATTCATAATTAGCTAAATTAGAAGAGATTTACCAGAAGAATTCCAATGACAGACAGCCTCATAACTAGGTTAGAAATGCGGACAATCTCAGATATTTCGCCCCACCCCCTCGGGCGTAAACCTGGCTCCGCCAATGCTAACCAGCACTTGTAAGTAAAAAGTCCTTGCTTCGGACCTAGACCCGTGCTTTCTATGATTTAAATTCTCATTTCGCTTTAAAGATGGGTTCCCTTATTTTCATTTATAAAAATGCTAATACTTATATATGAATAGAAAGTAAAGGCGTTCTAATGACTTGGAAAAATACCAGTTTATCTCACAAGACCGTAATTAATTCATAATTAGCTAAATTAGAATAGAATTACCCAGTGGTGGAGCCAGGTTTACGTCCCCCCTCTCCCTTTGACCCTTCCACTGGAATTACCAGCAGAATTTCAATGAGTGACCGATAAAGAAAGGACAAAAAGTCCTATTTTTTTTTATCCAGATTGTAAATAGCCTACATGGACATTTATGATTGGTTAAAACTCTTAATTATATGCAACAAGAGCATAATGATATGATTAAGAATACACGATAATTCATTAGAAACACCATTAAATTAAATAGTTTGCTTAATTTGACACTAAAAAACAAGGAAATCCATCCTTAACACGCGACCAATGAAAACATCATTATTTGGCCGTAGACCTAAACATCTGCCTCTATTACAGTCTTTGATAGCTATGTTGAAAGTTTTAGGCTGGTGTGGGTCTAAACAGAAAAACTCGGTCCGACTAAAAGCACTAGCGGGAGCAAACAAGCTCAAACAAGAGTTAACTAAGCGCAAACAAGTGTAAACAAGCATAAACAAAGCGCAAACAAGTGTAAACAAAGTGCAAACAGGTGTAAACAAGCGGAAACAAGCGCAAATAACGGTAAAAGAGCATAGAAAATGAATTAAATGTATATACAGTATTATATGAAGCGATTGCTCACAGTGTGCTTCAAATAAATCAGCCACAAGTATGTAAGATTTTGCCTAGGCCTATTATGAAATTGATGGTAAAGAGGATTCCTGGCTAATTTTGTGTATCGTCTGATAATTTGTCAGTTGATATGCCTTCAGTATATTGTTAGCCAAACGACCGTCCATAGACATATACACTGACTAGCAGTCAAGATAAATCCATTGAATCCAATTATTCCAATCGCAATACAAGTTTACAATCTCAAGAGAGTTTCGTTAATCTGATCACACTCTTTAAACAAAACTCTGTAACTATCTACACTTTTAGGTGTTAATCCTACATTAATTACCTGTGAGATTGTCTTAATAATGGTTTCCCTTATTTTCATTTATGAAAATGAAAATGCTAATACTTATATGAATAGAAAGTAGAGTGTTCTAATGGCTTGCAAAAATAACAGTTTTTCTCAAATGTCCATGATTAATTCATAATTAGCTAAATTAGAAGAGAATTACCAGCAATTTCCAATGAATGACCATCAAGCACCAATTTTTTTTTATCATGGTTATCATTAACTAAAAATTACTAAGCTAACCAGCAGAAAGGGGGGGGGGGGGGGGCTGCAAACCGCACACCCCTTTCGCAGCCCCCAAAGCAAGTGTTTCGGGCAAAAAAAAAAACATCATTACTAGGTTAGATATTCGAACAATCTCAGATGTTCTGACGTAAACCTGGCTCCACCACTGCCATCCAACACTTGTGAATAGTCCTTGCTTCGGACCTAGGCCGAATTCTCGTATAGCCTTAAAGATGGGTTGCCCTTATTTCCATTATGGAAATAAAAATGCTACTATCTAAAGTAGAGGTGGTCTAATGACTAGAAAAATTACCAGTTTGTCTCACATGTCCATAATTAATTTATAATTAGCTAAATTAGAAGAGAATTACAAGAAGAATAAGTGACGATCAAGAAAGGTCAAAAAGTCTTTTTTTTTTGTTTATGCAAGACGGTACATAGCCTACATGGACATTTATGATTGGTTAAAACTCTTAATTATATGCAATAAGAAAATAATGATATGATTAAGAATACATGATAATCCAATTAATCGAATAGTTTGCTTAATTTGACACCCAAAAATATTGGAGAAATGTGCAGTGTCAACCATAGAGTTATAAATAGAAACTTGTTCTTATTATATAACTCTATGGTGTCAACACACTTTTTTTGGATTTGGGAAAAAAGCTTATCGTCAAGATCGCATGTGAAATGCAACACCTTCGACCAAGTTAAAAATTCGTGAGTCAAGGCTATACGGATTCAATCTGATGCTAGCAGTCCGAGGTATAATAATTATTATAATGAATGTATCTGGTTGTCAGTCGTGTTTATCAGCTCTGCCAGTGTATATACGTCCATCGTTGAGAGAAGACCAGATGGCGATAATTGATATTGTTTATATAGTTGTTTTTACTCTCAAACAGGTGCAAATATCCTAGATTATAATCAAATAATATAGAAAAAATATCGTTTAACATTACCTAATCGTACGATGAGATAACCCTTAATGGCTATATTTGTACAATGATGGTGGCAATGATGATTGGATGCACCAGTGGGAATACAGGGGATTGGTTCCCCTCTCCCCCCCCCCCCCCCCAAGCAAAAGTCTTCTGATGTATAGAAATGTATGGGAATTTCATTTCATGTCTTTTTATTTTTGTATATGGCAGTATCTTAAGTAGAGACGACTCGTCTTTTTAACTTACAAACGCGGATAATTCTGGACACAAATGCATTTGAAAGCTTAAATTTCGACGGTGAACTGTGGACACAATTACTGATTGGCTAAGCTAAAAAATCCCGTTTCTGAGACTAAGATACGATTGGTCAAAAAAATGACGCATCTGTCCCTTTAATTAAAGAAATGCTAGAAAATTAGAATACCGAAGTTATAAACTAATTAAGTCGTATTTTTTTTCTTTAACTCATCAGAAAAAACAACATATCTATTTCAAATATTAACAGATCATTTTGTGTGATACATTTAGCTGCTGTAAGAGAGATAATGGTATGGAACTATTAATGAGAAAATTAAGTTCAACACCCTATTTGATTCTCTTCACTCGATATTAATTGGAAAACACTGATCAAATTATTGTCAAAAACTGTAAAAATGTAATATAAACAATATAAAATCATATCAGGACAGGTGTTAAAACGTTCAGAACGGGAATCATAGATTCAATGATAAACACAAGCCCGGACCTGACCAGATTTCACGAAGTATCAACAACCAAACCAACAACACTATATCATCAAATTTGAACAACTATACTACGACCATTAAACGGCCACAACTATGTTTTTTTAAAATATTTAAAGTCGTGTTTTTGGTTGATTGTGGAAAGCAGATTAAAGCAAATTGCAAATTGTAGAGAGATGTATCTGCGTCTTATTCTGCAGAATTCAACTAAAACTATCTAACCATTACAAAACCCAACACCAAAACCTATATACCGTTTAATTGACAATTAATACACTCCGTTTTAAATCATCCCTTGAAAACAAATTCAATTCTATCATGTAAATAACATATTTTAGAAGTCGAAACACATATACCTTACAGGTTATGCTTACCCCTATTAATACCTGATACCACTTTCATTCTGAAATACTTGTTCGCTTATGATTGATATACTTCCTAATATGAAAGAAAAGTTCCGCTGCTACTAATATATTTCGATTGGTGGTTCGAATCGTTTGGATTTCTTATTATTACAACGTTTATAATAACGAAAGGTTTGCAAACTGCCCTGTTAAAACGCATTGTAGAAATGACTCATCAGTGCAAGCAAAATATGTAGTTAGTCAAACTGTATATGTACACATTTCGTCATTTTAGTGTACAAATTTCGGAAAGTTTAGAAGAAAAAAAAATTTCGACGCACTAAAAAATATCAGACTGTCCCTTTAATAGGTTATATATTTGTTGGGATGAAATCATTTGAATAATTGAAAAGGATATTAATAAAATGATATCGATTTATCCAGCCATACGTCCGGTTTCACAAATATCCTATAGCACATCTGTTTTGTCCTTCTGACAAACAACATCGTTTCACAATGGCTAGAATCAAGGTATTTTTGTCAATCTTATTCGTGACTGCTGCAACAGTTAGTGATTGCAGCGCAGCTACTCAAAAGAATGTGTTATTTATCGTTGCTGATGATTTGAGACCAGAGTTGCCGGCGTTTAAAGGGTCCGATACTATCGTTAAAACTCCCAACCTGGATAAATTGGCAGCTAAAAGTTTGGTATTGAAATCAGCTTATGTTCAACAAAGTGTTTGTGGGCCAAGTCGTACGTCAGCTTTGACAAGCAGAAGACCAGACACAACTCTTGTATATGATCTGGACACATACTGGAGAACTGATGGTGGTGGTGATTTTTCAACCATACCCCAATACTTTAAAGACAACGGTTATCGTACTGCTGGACTTGGAAAACTGTTCCATCCTGGATCAGCTTCTGGTTTTGATGACCCTCCATCTTGGTCAGATACTTACTTCCATGCACCTAACAAACGTAAATGGGTCATAGATGACAGCTGGCAGTCTGTTACTGCAGCTGAAGAACTTGCTCAACCTCTTCCGGACACTCAACTAGCAGACGAAGCTATTATCAAGCTTGCTGATATGTCGACCGATGCTTTATCTGGAGTTCAGCCATTTTTCTTGTCGCTTGGATTTTATAAACCCCATCTGCCGTTCGTGTTTCCCGAAGATTATCTGAATTGGTATCCTGAAGTAGATGTCAGTCTTCCAGATAACCCATATGCTCCCGTAGATATGCCTGATGCAGCTTGGGAGGTTTACTCAGAATTGTTAAATTATGATGATATCACAGGAACTGGTGCCATCAATACTACTCTACCAGATGCCAAAACATTGGAGCTTCGACGGGCCTACTACGCGACGATCTCTTACGTGGACGCCCAGGTAGGACGCGTACTGGATGAACTGGAGCGACTTGGCTTGGAGAATGATACAATAATAGCCTTTTGGGGAGATCATGGTTTTAGTTTGGGCGAACATGGCGAATGGTGTAAGAAAACTAATTTTGAAGATGCCGTGAAGGCTCCGCTTATGCTCCGTGTTCCTGGAGACACTGATGCCGGTGTAGTTTCTGAAAGGCTGGTGGAATTCGTAGATCTTTTCCCTTCAATTGTCGAAGCAGCTAGCCTGAACCAAATTGCTCAATGTCCAACCGATTCATCACTTGTCGCAGTCTGTACTGAAGGTACAAGTTTCATTCCATTGATATCCGATCCAACTAGAGCTTGGAAAGATGCAGCTTTCTCCCAGAATTCTGCAACCACCAATGGCATCAATGCCATGGGGTACACCATCAAGACAACTGATTTCAGATACACAGAATGGGTAAAATTTAATAAACGTACACACACCATGAACTGGAACAAGGTTTACGATGTAGAATTGTATGATCACCGTATTGATCCTGAAGAAAATATAAACAGAGCTAGTGACAGTACCTATGCTGCTGATATAACCACTCTGAGTAACATACTTCATAATGGTTGGAGAAACGCTGTTCCTTAAAACCTGAGAGCAGATAAATCACTTTCAGTCACACATTTGTTATCATTCATTCAGAATTGGGTTTGCCCTGCAATTACAGACAGGGAAGCAAAGTAGTACTTAAGAAAACGCTATAATGCGTTGAATCAACCGTCATTATACAGCAGTACTATTTCCGGATTCTTATAACGAGTTCGGAAAAACGATATGAACTCATAGCACAGGTTAATAACTAATATTTCCACTCTCACTGTATTTGTCACAGTGAACCCTTTGACGAGAAATGCATTCAAATTCGAGTAAACTGCAGTGGGTCACGTGGTCACATTCCTGAGCTATATGGCTGCTGTTGAGGCCTTATTTTTATTTTTGAAATATAATTTATCAATCGGAAACTTCATGAAAAGAATACATTAGACAATGGAAATATAAGCATTGAACGATGGACCCACTGCAGTTACGGTGATATGAATACATTGATCAAGGTGCCAAATTTATCATGACTGCCTTCGGCAGCTCATTCAATTTGGCACCTTGCCCAATGTATTCATATCACCGTAACCGCAGTGGGTCCATCGTTCATTGCTTTAATAATATTAGGTCATGTATCTATGCGCCACGTTAAAAATCAAGACCACATTACATTCTTTGAAGTTGACGACTTGATTACTCCAAATAACATAACTTGTATTAAATATTTCCTTTTAGTCATCACATGAACAATCTTCGCAATATCAAGCTATTACAAATTTTGTCTTATACCTTGACTGCCATAGCCACAAGCCATAATGTTTACAGTCTATCTGTCGATTGCGTGCAATCCAATCAAATCGTTGAATTTCGTGATACAAGAAAGGTAGCTATTGCAGTCAAAGTATAAAACGAAGTTCGCAATACCTTAACCACAGTAAACTGTGAAGATATATATGAACGTGTTAACTTATATCTTATTTGTTACTTTTGCAAGAACATTTTTCACAAAGGCTGACCTCGAAAAGTCTATCAATATAAAGAAACAGTGCATGGAATAAAAGGAACGTTTGCGTCAATAAAACAAGTACTAACGCCCCGAACCGCAACATGAAACCTTAAAACAAAACAACATGGTTAAACATGTCATATGAAAACGTTAGTGGTTATGATGTAAAAGAATATATAATATTGCCTCTTTGTACTTTGAATCTATGAGTTGGCTAATACCGCTGTCCTGGCAAAATTTCTCTCATTGCACCCTGTCTTCATTAGCCCACATGGTGCAGACAAGTAGGGCGTAAAACTCCATTCATTTCATTTCATTTGTTTTTAAATCTAAAACGACTCGCCCAAATACATCCGCTCAAATCATCCATCACTACAACAGATCACCCAAACGCAGATTAACTCCACGAGTTGCACGTGCATGATATGAATAAAAGGGAGATATTTTTCAAACACGAATCATTGCCATTACTAATAAAGAGAAGAGAAGACTGTCTATAGATATATCTACAGGTAAATATACATTATATTCATTGTCTTTTAAAATTTCTACTTGTAATCAATTGACCAAAAATGGACAGTTGGCATAATATTTCTTTTATTAATAACCTTTGTTTTTCCACTTTACTCTGTCATAAATATTTATATTATTCATTGTATTAGGTTTCCAACATGAAGATTTGCTTGACATTGGTAGTCTTAATGGCAGTATTTGTTACTTCAGATGCCTGGTGGTTTGGTAAACGAGGTAGGTTATGCTAAAACTTAAAAAAATGTGATTTGCAGCGACAAATCGGTCTAAAGCTTTTGTTACTGCAAAAAAAAAAAAATATCAGATTTTGATATCAGGTTTCATACGAATTTTTCATCGTAATAATTCAGTTGGATTAGAAAGAATTTCTGATTGGATTCTAACCATATTCTCTTCTAGACTTAAACGGAGATGCACCACCATCAGCAGTAAAAGCTGCTTTAATCTCTTTATGTTCACAATATGGTGACAATACCAGTTCAGATCCAATGGCTCAAGATGTTAGAAATGTCTGCCAAGCCTTAAAAGAAGCATCAAATAATAGAAGGTATGCAAACGCCAACATTTCTAGTTTTATGACATTGATATATAGTGAAGGGGGTGGGGGGTGTGCTATATCAGATCTATTTATGTATTCTAGATGTCCCCAGCAGATGTCAAAAGGTATGGCTATCTGACACTATCTGACTCCTTATACGATATGATTTTCTGTTCCAAATACATGTGTGGCATTTTTAACCGTGGTATATCAAACCTTCCCTTCCATTAATTCATATTTACAACATAAATAACTAATTATAATTTTATCTTTCAGGACGATCATATCTTGACCATCCTTAGTCTACAAGAAAATATCTAGTTTAATGGCAATAAAATAATTAAACCTTTTTTTTTTCTACTTTTCATTTTAAAACTTCAATTCAAGCCACTAAATCTGTCCTACATAGACTCGTTCAAAGGTCATTAAATATCTGAAACAGTTCGTTATCAATGTCCCGTTCATCTCGTTCTATAATTGGCCTGTTTAGGATCTCAAACTGGTTCAGTAAGAATGGAGCTGGGAATGTCTGCCGTAGAGGCTTGTGCTGACTAAAATGTATATCGTTAGATTATATTTTGTCCAGCTAACAAAACAGGTGTGGTCTATAGTGGAATACTGTAGTGGCGGCTTTGGGGGTTTAAAGGGACAGATGCCCTATTTTCGGGCTACCAGCTGATGAAATTTTATTTACATGTACATGACATTTGTATGAAAACTCCTTTTCAAGCCTTCAATTCAGTTTTTTTTTCTATTTCCATACAAAACTGTACTTATAAACTAGTACTAAACTATAGAGGTATATTGTCTTTTAAAATTTCTACTTGAAATCAATTGACCAAAAATGGGCGATTTTATTTTTAGCATATCTCCGTTATTATTAATGACATCCTTTTACTTTACTCTGTCATAAATATTTCTATCATTCATTGTATTAGATTTTCAACATGAAGATTTGCTTGACATTGGTAGTCTTAATGGCAGTACTTGTTACTTCAGATGGCTAATGAAGTCACGAGTTTTGTCGACGGGACAGTTATAAATTGTACGGCAGCCTCTACGGGCGACCGACATTACATTCCTCGACGGGCGACGGGTCGATGGGCCGTTGAGCAATAATATGTACGCAGCCAATGAAAAGAACACGCAATTACAAACAAATACAATTGTAAATGGTAAAACTTTCCTAAACCTATTAAATATTCTAATCATGAAATAAATATCTAAATGAAAATCTGAAACTGCATCATTTATACTTTGTGTTTTGGCGACGGGTCAGGTTATAAAATTGTACAGTAGCCTCGACGGGCGACGGATACCGTGATAAATGTTTACGTTTTAAATGGCGGACCGTCAGCTCTTCGCGACGGGCGACGGGTCTGTGGGCATGCGTAGTGGAGCGGAAGTTATAGCAAAACATAAAAATGAAATAAAAATTACAAAATGTCACTTCAAAAAACATATTGAATTGATTTGATTGATCAAAGTAAATAACTTTTCTAATTAAGCATTAATAAAATGTTATTATTGAGCAAGATGTTTTTATTTAATTTAATTCATTCTATGTAGCTGAGGAGTTTTTTATGAAGTGAGTCGGTTCAGCGTGATGCGTCACATGTTCAATAGATATTTTTTCCTTGATGAAAAAAAAAGTCTTCTTAATCCCCAAAATATATGTGTATAAGAGCTATTACTTTTTGTTTGTATTGTACTACAAGAATACTGCCTTTATTGATATTTTGGTAAAAATAAACAAATGTTCGTTTTTCGCTATGTATTAGTTTTAGTTACCTGTTTGTAAGGTAGCCTCGACGGGCTACGGACGACGGGTCTTGTAGAACTACCTCAAAATTTATGCAATATTTTATTGAAAATACTCAAAGCGTAATATTTAACCCACGTGAATTTACATCACAGAACAAGTTACTCATATAACATTCAGAGGTAATGATTTTATTCTTTAATCACTGTCCTTTGCGAATGGACGGGTTTACAATGAACTTCGTATAAATGAGTTTAGATTGATTGAAGATCGGCCAGTTGTTATTCAACATGTTCATGTTAGAATGAACATAAAATGTAAGTTCTCGAAATAATCATATATTCATCAGTTAGCTTATCTGGTGTCATAAAGTTACAACACAATCGATTTAAAATCTGGAAAATTGGAAAATTCATAAAACTAAGTAATTATTGAAAAACGCTTAATCTTGATATTAAGCGTTTTTCAATAGTTAATTGCATATTTATGGATACTTTCAAAGTTTTTTGGATTTATCAGATTATACAAGGATTCTGTTATGTTATTTATGACACCAGGTATATCTACTGATGAATATATGCTCTTATTGGCCAAGTTTAAAATAATATCTAAGACTTTGTATCACTTAATACGATTTAGATATATAAGATTCATTTCTCATCCAGGCAATTAGTAAATCTACTGCAGTAGTTTTGGACATTCTAACGAATGACTTTTCATCTGTTAGGGCGAATGTCTTATTTGTAATAAGCCGGAAAGGTTCATTTTGAATGGCGAATGTTCAACGTGTTTGTAAGCTATTGAATTGTTTTTCTCTCACTTATTTCACGTATACATTACGTTTTAAAATTTATTTCACTATGTCAAGTTAACTTTATAAGACTACGTTTGTCGTTATTGCTTTATATTGTGAAAATGCAGTCAAGCTTAAGCTGTCGGTTTACTTTTTATTCTTATTGCTATTTAATTCATGGTATTTTAATAGTTAATAGGGAATGTAAAGACGTTACTATTGCAAAGGGCATTGTGTGACTCAAGTAGGCTTGCGATAAGTGACGTCATCAAACACTAAGTTTTATTGGAGTTACAGGAACCACAGGCGACAATGACTAAAAATCTGAATTGTGCAAATGGGTGCTATCAGTGTCCCAGATACACATAAAAAGTTCTCTCTTTACAATTCCTTTAAAAATACTCATAATATTCCTTAT